ARRRRAWAATATCATCTGGTCCCTCAATARAGTGCAAACCAAAAGACAAAAGGCTTTGAACTGCCCACTTTTTTTTGTTCCCCACTTTCTCCATCATCCACGCCAAAAGTTTGTTCACGATTCAATCTCTCAAAATATTATAATATTATTCACTATCKTTSGATCTATAGACTACGATCTCTAAACATAGTTCAACTGAAGGTATATATTATCGACTAAAAAATTATAGGTTCGAGATCCTACTTCCACACATGTTGTTGTATTAAAGGAAAAATCTTAATAATTCTCGATGCCAGTTAAGGTAGAATTCATTTTCCCCTCTCTATTTGTTATAACTAATGTTTTTTCAACGTAGAAGTTAGATGAAGAAGCTTTTATACAATCAAGTAAAAGATACAAAGTTATACAAAGTTTCATTCTTTTGTCTTCTTATGTTATAAGAAATTCAATATATTTTTTTTGAGTAAAAGAAATTCAATATTTTGAAATATATAATATTAGTTTTGGTGATATATTTTTCTTTTCCAGAAAAAGAAAAAGATTGGGAATATGAATATAAAGGAACTTCTTTGTCTTGAAAAAGAAATGATAATACCCATGTGCCAATTCTTATGTTAATGCATGAAAATGTGAAGTTTTGCTTAACCCATAGTTGTATGTCTTTCGCTCTCTTTTTTAGACAGCTCATTCACATCATGCACCCCTCTGCACATGGCCCTCATTAATTACTCAAATTCAATTAAGAAATAAAATGTAAATTTACCATTCTAAATCTCTCTTTCTTCATTCTTAAAAAAAAAAAAAAATCTATCTTTCTTCTATTATTTTAATATAATTTATTTCTGACATTAAATAAAATCGAGTATAGCTCAACGATAATTGACATATATCTCAAATCAAGAGAGTGTGAATTCGATCTCAGATCTCAGACATCTCCACATGTTGTACCAAAAAATAACTATTCAACTAAATAATTTGGTGTTTATTGAATATTTTTGTTACTGTATATTTAATTATAAAATTAGTAAATGGAATAAATTAAGTCATAAAGTACAATAACTCCCAGCATACTTTAATATAATGGTTTGTTTATATATATATATATATAACAGTTAGATACGTTGGGAATCACATTGTAAAACCTAAGAATGATGGGTGGCAAGGATGGAGAGATTGGTAGTAGTCAAGGACRCATGGAAGATCTTAAATTTTTTGAATTTTTTATTTTTACAAATTAAATTTCTATTATGGGCCTATCCATCACTATAAATTAGTGTTTCCCTCCACTCTTTCATCATCTCATTTTCTTCTCTCCCTCTCTATTCAATTTGTGTTTTCCTAAAGGATTTTCTGAGCGAGTTTGATTCTACTCCGTTCTGACGAATGCATGTCTGAGTCGGAGGTTGTGTTAATCTTAGAGAACATTCCGACAATACAACAATTTAGCACCGAGGTCGTGCCGTTTTTGCTTTCAAGGTAGTGGTCCTGTCCACGGCACAATGAAATTATTTGCTTACATTCCATTTTTGTCCTTCTATTCCAACAAGTTGAAAGTAAAAATCTCACCTACCCATGGCTGCTATCCGATCTGGGAAGGTCCTGTCGGACTTGCCAAAATTGGAACGACTCAACGGATCCAACCACCACCGATGGTCACAAAAGTGTTGGGTTTAGTGCATTGAGCCCGTGAGTTTGTAATTTATAAATATATTATTTATTATTAATAAAAGTGATTTTATTATTTCTTTGCATTCCTCGTATTCTAATAAACTAAGATCCAAGGTTATTTAATGTAATTGGAAGAATATATATTTGATATACCGTATATATCTAATATACAATGTATATATTTRATATATAGTATATATACAGTACATATTCSATATACAAGTGGTTTATGTTCCAATAATAACCTAAATGGTCTATAGTACATGGATAAGGTTGGGTACCTTATCCTAGTAACATTATAGATAGACCCGCTTTGTAATAGTTACAAACGACTTTATCCAAGTCGTTCATGTAGAGACATGTGAGTGGGGGTATCCTATACAATGAGTTTGTATAAGATTGGACTGCGAAATAATTAATCATTGGCTCTCTAGCATCGTTAGTTAATAAATTGTTATCTTATAGGATAACTAGGTAACTCGATCTTAATCCTGAGTGAGTTATAGACTCCTGCCTATTAGGGATCGTCCTTTGATTTGTATGGGTAAGAGTTGTTCAGATTTCCAACTCAATAATCCTACCATTTTGGAGACGAGACCGAGTGGGGAGCTGGGAATATAATTACGCAAGATGAGATTTACTCCTTCCCGACTTTAGGGAAGTAGATGAGTGTTCCCTTACATGCTGACTCCGAGACATGAACAAGGGGCCCCACMYTCTCATTGGCCTGGGAAGGACTTCCGGTTATTGGTCGGACAATAACCAGATTGTTCACTCGAGGAGCAGTGGTATTTAAGGAGCAAGATGTAACTCAAGGGTAAAACGATAATTTGATCTAACTAGAGTTACGAGCACTCGTGAAGGATTGACTTGTCGTTAATGGTCGTACATCCGTGAACACGGAAATATTCTGCAATGAGAAGAGTGCAGCTGCGGATCTTTAGTRGAGTGAGTTTGACTGATTAATCTCGCATCTTTAGAGCTTTTGATCTGTAGGCCTATTAGGTCTCATTGCTAACTCATAATGGGTAAAACGAGGATCAAKAATTAGAAAATAATTTGAAATGTTCAAATTAATAAGGGAATGTATATAACGTATATTGATACATTATATAAATATATGTTAATTTTGGATAAAGATTCAAAATTAATACTATGTATTTTGAGAGTGGAGGCTAGTTTTATGAAAGAGAAAAATCCTTATTTTCTACCTTTTGAATTCTTTATCCTGATGGCCTTGGGATTTCCCCTAGATTCAAGAGAAGATATCGTATATCTAAAAGGATAAGATATCTTGATGGTCTTAGAATTTTCCCTCTATAAACATAACAGTAAGCTAAACCCTAAAGTAACGCTAAAAAATCTCTCAACTCTCTTACTCTCTCAATCCCTTGCAATTGGATCCCACAATCCGGATTCTCAACCAAGAGACTTAGCGAGGAAGATCAAGTGGTGTTGTCTCTTTGGGATCACATGAAGAAGAGTCTTCAAAGGTAAAATCCAACGTTCTTCCCTGTTTTATATTTTTCTATGTTTTAAATTTCAAAAGAAATTCAAGAACGCGTTATACTACTTCCATTCTGGGATTCACATCCCTTAAAAAAGTTACTAATTTTCTGTAAGTAGTTCGAGATCGACTACATCCTCACTATTGTTCAACTCGCCGCTGTTGCTACCGTTGCCACCACTACCACTGTCGCTGCTACTACTACTGCCACTACCGCTTCATCACTGCAGCCGTCATTGATCCGCTTGTCATTGCYGCTACCACCATTTTAGTTGTTGCTGCTGATCTTGGGACGTCTATTGCCGCTATCGTTGAAGCTGAAAAATTCGAGAAAGACAACAAAACGGTCCGTGGGCATCTTCTCAACCATATTAACAACTCTCTCTTTGATCTCTTTGTAGTCCAAAAACATGCAAAGATCATTTGAGACACAAGAGGAAGTWCGTCGTCGGTAAATGGCTACAATTTCAAATGTCGAACGACAAACTAGTGATGGATCAGGTTCATGAGTACGAGAACCTGGTGGCAAGTGTGTTGTTTGAAGGCATGAWGATGTGCGAGATTCTTCAGGCCAATGTGTTGCTCGAGAAATTCCYTGGAGTGATTATCACAACCACCTGAAACATAAGAAGAACAAAAACAAAGGGAAGCAAATTGCAAGGTATAGAGCTCAAAAGAACAAATGTCTCCAACCAAAAAATACTGGTAGAAGAATCGAGAAATCCAAATTGGTATGATATGTTGTGGAAAATCCGGGCACAAATCCTATCAGTGCACCCAGAGGAAAGATAGGAAATATCAAAGGGCTACTCCACAAGCCAACCTTACAGAGATGGACGACATCATTGCCACTATGGTTGTAGAAGMAAATCTGGTAGAGAACAAATCCAACTAGATTTTTCATACAGGAGCGTCCARACATTTCTGCTCGAACCGTGATCTCTTCCACGACTTTTAGGACTTCGTTGATGGTAAATATGTTTTTATGGGGAACTCTGCCATAGCTAGAGTACTTGGGAAAAGGAAGGTTGTCTTGAAAGTCACATTTGGCAAAACTTTATCATTAAGTAATGTGCTGTATGTTCCTTCCCTGCGTAGAAATTTGGTGTTAGGAAGTATACTGAACCGAGCCGGACTTAGGATTGTGTTTGAGGCTGACAAGGCTATTATCACAAAAAATGGTGACATTGTTGGTAAGGGTTATTTAACAGATGGTTTGTTTGTTCTCAACACTACTTCTTCAAATGAAATTAATTATAGTTCTGCTTACATCGTTGAGTCTCTTGATGTGATGTGTGGCATGGTAGATTAGGGCATGTGAACATTGTATTGATTAAAAAGTTTGGAACTTTAAATTTAATTAATGCTTATGATTTTCCTGAAACTACAAAATGTCTTATCTGAGTAGAAGCAAAATTCACTAAAAAAAACCTTTTAAACCTGTCGCTGCAAGGTATACTGAACTCTTAGAATTAATTCATTTTGATTTAGCTGATTTAAAATAAACCGCTAGCAGTGGTAGAAAAAATTAATATATTTCTTTTGTTGATGATTTTTCTAGATATACGAAAATATATCTCCTAAAATCTAAAGATGAAGCTGGTAGTATATTTTTGAAATTCAAAGCTGAAGTAGAAAAACAATTGACATARAGATAAAAATGATAAGATCAAATAGGGGTGGTGAATATAATGATAATTTGCTTAGAGATTTTTGTGAATCAAGTAGAATTATACATGAATTTGCTGCTCCATATTCACCTCAACAGAAC